GATAGGACCTGGTGGGGCCTGATCGGACCTGATAGGACTTTGTGGAGCTTGGTGGGGTCTGATAGTACTTTGTGGGACCTCGTGGGGCCTGGTGGGGTCTGGTGAGACCTGGTGAAGCCTAGTGGTACCTGGTGGGGCCTCTTGGGGCGTGGTGAGGCCTGGTGGACCTAGCGAGCCTTGGTAAGGCGTGGGAGTGCCTGGTGAGACCTGGGGGTGCCTGCTGGGGCATGGTGGTACCTGGTGGGGCCTGGTACTCTGGGCTGAGGCACCTACTTGAAGCAGCGTCTCATTTACCCCAGGGCCCGACTTGCGTCCGAATGTGCAGCATGGTGGGCGAACCAGAGGTTCTAAAGCATTCATCTTCACGGAGTCACCTGCAGCCGCAAAGGGGCTGCCCGTAGCGTGCAGGGGGAGTTTCACACTGACCTACCTTTCTGCGTGCAGTGACAGTGGCCCTGGTCCTTGCATCCAGCCTGGCTGGCTGTGCAGAGACATTGCACAAATTGCACGCGGGCAGAAACTCATGTGGAGTATTAGCATAATGAGCAGTTCCTAATTTCTGCAGCAAAGCACTTTCATTCTGATTGAAAAACTGGGGCCTTATTATTTGGGGATTAGTCCTTTTTGGTAATGAGCACTCATTAATACAAGCTTCTTCCTTTCAACATCCTGATGACCTGCGGAGACCAGCACTTTGCTAAGTGTCAATGAGAGAGCAGGGCCAGTCCTAATGGGCCTCGGTGCTGGATGGGAGAGGGAGCGCGCACACACACACACACACACACACACACACACACACACACACACAGTCACCGACACACTCACACATATACTGACACACACACAGCCACCCTCCCACACAAACTCACACCAGCACTCACACATGGACCAACACAAAGAAACACACCAACACACACATCCACACACTCCTGCGCACTTATCCACGGACTGACATACTAACACACGGGTGAACTCATACCCACGTGTACACTCAGTCTCACACTCTGACACACTCATACTGACGCACGTGAACACAGCCACATCCATGCACCAACACACAGTCCTGAGACACACTCCCATCGCACAATGACTCACACTCACACGCTCACTGATTTATTCCCTTTTAAAGTCACGCCACACCTAACAAAGAAAAGCTGCCAACCTGTCTCCACGGGGCTGGATCTGAGCAGCTTTTCAGGCTGGCGGCTCTTGGCTCCCTGAACACCGCCGCCCACCCCACCTGCAACAGTCACTGAAGTTCTAGGTTCCTGTCAGTTCTCAGACATGACGTTGGTGACGAGTGCTGACTTTGAATGGCGCCTGTAAACCAGTGCTCAGTTGTCTCAGCTGGTGGGAGAGGGTGCGTGGGCTGGATCCCTACACCCTTCCACGTGGCTGTCCCCCAGCCCTGGGTTTGCAACGTGATGCTGCAGGAGCCCACCTGGCTCGTCTCCCCCGGAGGCTCAGCTGCACTGAGGGGTGGCCTGCCACCCGCCAGGCTGGGTGGGGTTGGCCCTTCCTCCAGCCTCCCCGGACCTGAGGCGGGTAAGAGGGCGCCTCCACTGAAGGTAAATAGGGGAAGAAGAAATGGTGAGAAGGTGCACGTGGGCACAGCTGGCGCGTCCATAAACTTGCCACGTCTCCACAGCAGGCTGTACTTTCCTGAGCGAAATCCAGAGGAGGCCAAAAATTAGACGCTTTCCCCAGGAAGGCATTTGAGGCCACAAGCCTGCTTTAAAATATGCATTTTTGACTGAGATGCAAGGGGAAGGGGAGGGGGTGGGGTTTGCAGAGCAGATAGCACCGGGTGGTGGCAGGGGCTTGGGACATGCCCGTGAAGTCCGACAGGTCTACCCTCACTGACAGTGGACACCTGTCCCTCCAGACCTCGGCAAAGGGCTGCGTGATTAGAGCCACCCAGCTTGGGTCGGTGACCTCTGTGACATCCAGGAAAGCGCTTGCCCTGGACCTGGCTGTGCCACGTCCTCACGTCCTGCCCTCTGGGTGCCTCTGTTTTATTCTGGGTGACAGCAAAGCAGGGTCTTCCAGGTCCTCTTGTCTGCTGACAGCTGGGGGGCTCGGGACTGGGTTTCCTCCCAGGCGGTGGTTATGGACCTGCCCTGTGCGTTGCCGGCTCCTTGGAGAGATGTGACATGTGATGTGCAGGGTGGGTGGGGGGCTGGGAGGGAACCAGCTCTTATGAACACGTGAGGTGGGGACTATCTTTTCAGATGCTGATTATTCGATCGCGCTTGAGTAGGCCTTTGAAGTAACTAATGAAGGGTTTCAGTTTCCCCTTTGAAGTTAAGATTAGCGCTCATTACCAAGAAGCGCGGCTCCTTGTCATCGTGGGGGTGGAGCGCCGCCCCGGCAGAGCCCCCGCACTGACGCTCCTTTCTCTTTTCCACGCAGTTCCATGTCCATCCGCTGGCCGGGCTGCTCCCTAGGAAGCCATGCTTGGATACTGATAGCCATGTTTCAGCTCGCCATGGATCTGCCCACGTGCGAGGCCCTGGGCCCAGGCCCCGAGTTCCGGCTGCTGCCGCGGCCTCCGCACCGGCCCCTGCGCTTGTGGAGTTTTAAGAGCGGACAGCCGGCCAGGATCCCGGCCCCCGTGTGGAGCCCCCGCCCGGCCCGCGTGGAGCGCAGCCACGGGCAGCTGCAGAGCCCCCGCGCCAAACGGGCGCACAGACCTAGGGACCCGGCGGCCGCCCTGGTGCCCAGAGGGGGGCTCGCCAAGCCCCCCGCCGCCGCCAGATCCAGCCCTTCCCTGAGCGCCCCCCGCTCCTCGCCGTCCCCCGTGGTGGGGGCCCCCGCGGACCAGCAGGCCCTCCTGCGCCGGGGAAAGAGGCACCTGCGCGCCGCCGGCTTCAGCAGTTTTGACTTCAGAGGCAGCAGGTCCACGACGGAGACGGAGTTCATTGCGTGGGGGCCCACGGGGGAGGAGGAGGCCCCGGAGTCCAACACGCTTCCCGGCGTGTACGGGCCCACCACGGTCTCCATCTTCCAAACGCGGAAGACGACTGTGGCCACCGCCGCCACGGCCGCCACGGCCACCACGGCCACCTCCATGACGCTGCAGACTAAGGGGGTCACCGCGCCCCTGGACCCCAGGCATAGGATCCCAGCTGGGGTTAGCACAACGGAGCCTTCCACCAGTTCCAGCAGAGACAGCGGCAAAGACACCAAGCCCCCGCGGATTCTGGGGGAGACCTCAGGTACGCTCCTGCTTTTCCCGTTGGTGTTCGCTGGGGGCGGGGACACCCAGGGGCGGGGACACCCAGGGGCGGGGCTTGGGAGGGGCGCTGAGCCGTGCTCAGGCGAGGATGCCTCTTCCTGGGACTCTGTGTTTCCCAGTATTAGAACCTAAAACAGAGGCAAAGGGCCCAGAGTTGGGTGTGGCACCTCCAGGAGAGATGGGGGCGGCGTTCCCGTGAACTTGTTCGTACGTACACTGGCTGATACAGCGTGTACTCTAGAAGGGGGAGCCAGGCCGCTGTGGCTGGTGGAAGGGGAGAGGAGAGATTCCACCTCCCGTGGTGACCAAAGGGTGGTGGCCATGCCTGCCGTGCCCATGTCAGGGGGGTAGCCGGGCCCCGCCCCAGGACCACATCTTCCAGAACAGCAGAACTTTGTCCCCTGGGGGCCAGCTTGGGAATAAGATGTGGGCACAGCTGATGGAGCTGGGGCCATGTGGAGTCTTCACAAACCTTCAAGGGTGTGGCTCCGTGGAGTGGCAACTGCCAGATGGGCCCAGAATTAGGAATCACTTCAGACAGTAGGAGAGACCGAGGCCATATATAGGGAAGAACTTCCCAAACTGATCCTGCCTGGTTGGGGAATGTCATTTCCTTGGAGGTGTTTGGAGGGCGGTGATCAGAACAAATGGCTTTGGTTCTTCTGCCTCCGTTACTCCAGGCGCGTGTGGAGCGTTACTATTTCTTGGCTCTGAAATACCTACTGCAGTGTAGTTTTCTTATTCTTTCTCCTCCTCTACCTCGTCCTCCAATTGCATCACAAGGAGTAGCCCTTAGAAATCTCCCAGGCCAAAGCTTGTCCTTTCGCCGGTAGCCACGGGCATGAACCCAGCTTCGTGACCACCCGAGGGAGAGCTCAGAGTCAGGGACCCCGTGTCCCAGCCCACCTCCAGCTCCCTCTGTCTCTGTGGACAGGCGGTGGCCCATGCCCACCATGACTCCGAAGTCCACACACAAGTTTGATCTCTGCATGAACGTCCTGGACAAGCAGCCGCGTTTGCTCACTTAGTAAAAGGAGCTGATGCAAGTCCAGGCGTGAGCACCAGGGGAGGGGCGTCCTGCAGCCCCCAACCCCACCCCACCGCTCGCTTCTCCACTGCAGAGTCTGAGCTCTGCAGGCCTCAGGCAGGTCATCTTGAGAGTCTAGGGGAAGGAGAGAATCGCTCCTCAGGGTCCGTCTGCAGCGCCCTTGCCACCGTTTCCTTTGCACTTGGCCTCTGCACTGGACTCTGCATCCTGGCAGGCAGGCAGGCTGTGGCCAGTAGTTGGACGGGTTTCTGTGGAGTGAGTGGCTTTTGTTCTGTGGCCTACTTTCCCCCTGCACCAGGACAAGAGAGCTGTGGTTTTCATTCTGAGCTCCTCTTCCCTAGAGAGCAACATAACTATGAAAGCAAAACCCAGCTCCCTCTCAATGCCAGGGGCGGGGGCCGGGAGCACCACGGGGGCCGGTCTGCAGGGCCGTGCATAGGCCTTCCCCCACGTAGTAGCCTCCTTCTGGAATCTACAGACACACAGGCCTGCAGTTCAGCATTTCTGGGCCAGGCGCCCGAGAGCAGTTCACAAAGCATCCGTTTTTACCTCGGACTCACCAGCCATCATCATAACGGCATTTAGTGCTACATTCATTTACTGTCATCTGCATACGTCACTTACTATGTAGACATGGATGAGAAAACCAGTTCCCATTTATTCCAAATTACATTTGTTATTCCTAAAGTTAAACGCTGGGACGGCATTGTAAGGCTTAGAAAATTAATTCATAGGACGTTGTATGTGGCTAATGCAACTCGACAGATGCTTATCTTGGAAAAGATTTATGGTTCTTCATAGTATAATCTGGTGCTAGGTTAATTTGTTTAGCAAAACGGATTTAAAGTGTGGGGGGGGGGTAGGGGGAGACTGTGGTTCTAACGCAGACAAACATTAATTCTGGGAAGGGATACAGGATGCTGAGGGAGGATGAACAGCAGGTGATCCTCAGCTTCGCGACCAAGGTGAAGCAAGACAGGGAATGCTGAGATGTTTCCTCCAACCAGGAATCACCAAAGCCCAACTGTCCTACGGAAGTGACCCGGAGCGCCCAAGCAGGCATCCCCGCAAGTGCCCCTGACCCCTGCAGTCATCAGGTGTAGACTCTTTGTGGAGCGGGACCACCACACACACTTCTCAGGCAGAATTTAAGGGGGTCTTGGGGACCCCAGGGCCCTGCGTGCCGTGGTTAGCACATGCTCTCAGGCTGCACCTCCATGTATGGGTCTGGGCTCTGTTCTGTGGAGCTGTGTGACCCTGGGAAAGTTCTCTTTTCTCTTGGCTTCATTTTCTTCATCAGCGAAATTAATGTCTCTCCTGAATGGTTGCTGTGAGGACTCAGTGAATTGACACCAAATATGAAGTATGGTGCCTGGCACCCCAGAAGCTGCATACACGCCGGCTGTTTTTATACCCAGCAAGAGTGACTCCGAGAGGAATGTTGCCGGTGTCAAGCCCGAATAGGCTGCCAGGGCCATGAGAGTCTTGTCATCCCAGGACACCCAGCTTTGCTCACTCACTGCCCGGGGATACCCCAAAGTCTGGAGGTCAGGCTTTAGGAAGTGATATGAAGAATTCATGGTCAGTCTTGCTGTCCAAAAGGGGATGTTTGGAACTGATTTGGGGAGTTGTGAGCTTTATTTTTGCTTCTGTAGAGAACTGTTTAGAAAGGGGCATGTTACATTTTCCTGTCTGTCTGTAGCACAGGCATTGGCGGGCAAAGGAAGGGCAGGGGGCTGGTGATTTGGGGCACTCTGAAATCCCTCAGAAGGTAACATGACATGGAATAGCCACTGGAATTGTCAAAGGGCCCCTCTCACAGAGTCAGTCTGCAAGCGAAGTGATTGGGAAATTTCTTCTAGTTTTAGTGTAGTGGTTAAAGCTGCCACTGCCTGCCTTCAGACGTCTGGCTTCCTCTTGTCTTAGCTGTGTGAACTTGGGCAACTTGCTTGTCCTTGCTGTGCCTCAGTGGGCACTGCAGAATTAACCATCTCATAATGTTGTAAAGATTAAGTGAGATAGTACTTGCCAGGTGCTCAGTGCTTAGTACATGCTTGCTGTTGTTAACATGATAATGATGATGGTGGTGATGGTGATGCCATGATGATGAAGATAATGTTGGTGATGATGGTGATGATGATGGTGGTGGTAATTACGATGGAGACAGTGGTGATGGTGATGGCAATGGTGGTGATG